GCTGATTATAGGGTCAATAAACGCGCGGAGGCTGAACTCTTTTATCTAGCTCCGTACGAAAGAATGCATTAGGTATTACTGTACTTCGCTCACTCTCCCTTCCCTTTCACATACGCGCTGACGCCACTCGGCCGACTCGTGTCGCCTCGATGCTAAGGGTATTAGTGTTCTGTGCCTCGATGTGGTAGCGGCGGGATACAGGCCGCGCGTATTCGGCGTCTCGCGTATATTGACCCCCTATCAGCTGATGTTAGGTATTTGAAATTTCACAGCTGGTTTTATATTTAAGTATTTTAATGATTTTTTTAAATGAAATTATCGTTTCATTTAGCTGTACTAACGTGATAGAACGTAAATAAAGCTAATTAAACGTTGTAATATTTTTTTGCATCGGGATCGATTTTATTTGTATCTCAAAGGTCCTATATAAAGTCGGTTAGGAGCGCGACCGGGGCAGTATTAAATTGGCGACACAAGCGAACACTTCGGAGCGAAATAAAGTGAACTAAAATGTTAAGTGTAATTAATTATTAGTGTGTTTTAAGTTTTAATTGTTGTTCGGTAGTTAATGTCAATTTTGGTAATTCATTCGGCGGTTTTTATTGTCACGAACCCTAAGATCATAACAATTGGTGTCAGAAGTGGGATAAAATCATGCCGATTTTACCTAAAGACGAAACGGAGGGTGTCCGTACCCGAAGACAACGCCAGCAGGAGACGGATCAGAGACGATTTGGTGGTGCAACGCCTTAGGCTTCGGTGCTACTGACGGGCCAGCCTCCGTTACCGGCAGCTGGCCCGTCAGTAGCTCCTACATCTGCGGCTCCTGACTTAGATGCTCTGATGGTGATGCTGCAGAGCAGACTCGCCGACAGGAGGAATAGGCCCGTCGTTTGGAAGAGCGGCTCAAACGCGATAAGGAAGAGCAGATGCTCTTCATGAAGGAAATTCACGCTACCTTCGGGAAATAAATAAAATGTAATGTCTTCGTATCTCTCCTACCCGGGGTAAAAACTAGAACACTTCTTTGTGCCTCGGGCTGAAGTTTGCGTATACGTTAGAGAGGACATCTGTTCTCGACGCCTCGGCAGTCTTGAAGGTTCGGACCTGTCCATCCTTTGGCTACGCGTAGATAACGACGACCATCCGCGCGTCTACGGGTGCCTCTAAAGATCTCACAACGGAAATGCCGAAATAGACCGACTCTTCGACCACATCCAAATGGCTACAGATTCGTTGCTACAGCAGATCCCCTCCGCAGAGATCGTGATTCTCAGCGATTTTAACGCCCATCACGCCGAATGGCTTGGTTCACGTTTAACCGATCATGCGAGGAGATCTGTTCATGATTTTGCCTTGGCATATGGTCTGACACAACTAGTTACTTCGCCTACGCGGATTCCAGATGTGGAGGATCATGCACCTTCCCTGTTGGAACTTCTGCTGACCTCTCATCCGGACCGATATCAGATTTTCCGTCGACGCCTCTTTAGGCTCCTCGGATCATTGTGTTGTGCATTCTGCAGGCTGCCGCCGTATTTAGCACTATAGGTCAGCTGATTGGGATGGGATGCGGTCTTTCTTTGCATCCTACACAGGCTGCAATAAAAGTATCGGGAAAGGAATATTCCACTGTTCATGTCATATTAAATTTTTTTAATTGAAAACTCCTTGGTTTTAAAAATTTAAAAATACCATTTATTTATTTATAAAAAGATTCTCGGTCTTGTCACAAGGTTTTGTCAAACTTGTTTAGTCGTTGAGAAAATGGAATTGACTCGAGAAAATTCAAGAGCGATGATTTATTATGACTTTCGAAGTGGTTTAACACAAAAACAGTGTGTTGACCGGATGATTTCTGCATTTGGTGATGAAGCCCCATCCAAAACCACAATTTATCGCTGGTTTGCTGAATTTCAACGTGGACGTGTCAAGCTCAGTGATGATCCCCGTCAAGGTCGTCCAAAAACTGCAGTCACCCAAGAAAACGTTGATGCTGTGCGTAAGCTGATTGAGGAAGATCGACATGTAACATACCGCGAAATTCAGGCAACTTTAGACATTGGCATGAGTCAAATACAAATAATATTGCATGAACAATTAGGTGTAAAAAAGTTGTTTCCCGATGGATACCGCATTCGCTCTGTGAAGAGCAAAAAGCGGCTCGCGTTACTTGGTGCGTCAGAACTCTCGAAAGATTCCACGCAGCATCCTCAAATGCTGTATACAACATCGTATCAGGTGACGAATCCTAGATATACGCGTACGAACCCGAAACAAAAAACCAGTCACGAATTTGGGTGTACGAAAATGAGTTAAAGCCAACAAAAATTGTTCATTCACGGAGTGTTGCAAAAAAAATGGTGGCCACGTTTGTCTCCAAAACCGGCCATGTTACGACTATTCCTCTTGAGGGACAAAGAACGGTTAGTGCAGAATGGAATGCTAGCATTTGTTTACCACAGGTCGTTTCTGAACTCCGTAAAGAGAACTGCAACCGCCGCATCATCCTCCATCAGGACAATGCGAGTTCTCACACCGCACACAGAACAAAAGAGTTTTTAGAGCAAGAAAACATAGAATTATTAGACCATCCGCCGTACAGCCCCGACCTAAGCTCGTATGATTTCTATACTTTCCCTAAAATAAAGAATAAATTGCGTGGACAGAGATTTTCATCACCTGAAAAAGCTGTGGACGCCTACAAAACGGCCATTTTGGAGACCCCAACTTCCGAATGGAATGATTGCTTCAATGATTGGTTCCATCGTATGGAAAAATGTGTCAAATTTCACCGAGAATACTTCGAAAAGCAATAAATACATTTTTAAATAGTAATGTTGTGTCACTTCCTTGATTCCCGAAGTTTTCAGTGCCGCCCACGTACCCTTAGGGGCGGGTTTGCTTCTCACCGGACGATCCGATGGTACTTTAGGGTATGGAACTCTTTATTCCTTCCTCTGTGGTGCCCATCGGGAGAAAACTTCAGCCATGGTTCGGTCGCTCCTGTAAAATATCATCATGTTATAAGCAGGAGTGCTACCAAGCCTGGCCTGACGCATCAACGTCCCGGTATGTAAACACTAGCACTCTAAAAAATAAGTATAATTCTGCCTCCAGGTACTTCAAAAGAAGCGACAGTAGCCTAATGGCAGGGCACGAACCGCGAACTCAAAAACGAATCCACCATTCGACTACTGTCGTGAATCACTCGTAACACAAGCAATTTAAGCTTACCACGGGTGGTTAAGGGGAATATTAGTAATGTTTATAGCATTGTTAATATTCTTTTAATAAAAAATAAAAAAAGAGTCATTGCCAAGGCAAAGTCAGAGCACATAGGCAGAATTGGCGAGAAACTAGTTTGCCTTCCTTCTGGAACCCGTGCATTCTGGTCTCTCGCCAAGGCTGCCCGAGGGAATTTCTGTCAGCCAGCTCTTCCATCTCTGCACTGGGAGGATGACTCACTGGCCCAGGCCGCAAAGGAGAAAGCCGATCTGCTAGGCTTTTTCTTTGCGTCCAACTCGACTCGATGACGGGGGGTGTATGCCACCAACCATATCGCGGTGTGAGTGCTCCATGCCGGAGATTCGGTTCACACAACGCTCAGTTCGCAAATTACTCCTCTCCCTGGACATCCACAAGTCGAGTGAGCCTGACAGTATCTCCGCAATTGTACTGAGAACGTGTGCTACAGAGTTGGCACCGATCTTAACGCGTCTTTTCCGGTACTCCTACTCCCTAGGCGTAGTCCCGAAATCATGGAAGACGGCTTTCGTCCACCTGATCCCTAAAAAAGGCGACCGCTCAGACCCGTCCAACTACAGGCCCATCGCCATCACCTCTTTGTTCTCCAAAACAATGGAGTCCATTGTAAACTGCAAGCTCATGAGGTACTTTGAGGATCACCAGCTGATTAGTGATCGCTAACACGGTTTTCGTCGTAGTCGATCAGCTGGTGATCTTCTGGTCTACCTGACACATAGATGGGCGACGGCAGTAGAGTCCAAGAGGGAGGCATTGGCCGTTAGTTTGGACATTGCAAAGACCTTCGATCGGGTTTGGCACGTCGTTTCTTTCGAAGCTCCCTTCCTATTGGCTTCCCGAGAAATTGTGCAATTGGATCACCAGCTTTCTTGCAGATCGGAGCATCAGGGTCGTTGTAGACGGTGCCAGCTCCGATTATAAGCCTGTTAATGCTGGTGTTCCACAAGGCTGCGTGCTATCACTAACGCTGTTTCTTCTGCACATCAATAATATGTTGCAAACCAACAACATTCATTGCTATGCAGATGACAGCACTGGTGTCACCACAGAAATCTAAATAATAAGGCAATAGAAGTCGTAAAAGCGCGTGACCTTGTCGACGCACATGTGACTCGTAGGCCACAAACGCGCGAAGAGCGTTTGTTTCAGTCACTAGTTTTGTTTCGGACGCAGAGACGTAAAAATTATGTTTTGAAGCATATCCAACTGCGGAAATTCTTGCAAAACTATATGAGCATGTTAAAGAACTGGACAATCGTCTTATTCCACTGAGTAGGAAGGAGTTTTTAAAATTAGCGTTTGATTTGGCAGAAAATCTCAAAAACCCCCATAGATTTAATAAAGAGAAGGGAGTCGCAGGAAAGGACTTTTTTTACAGTTTTAGAAGGAAATATCCGAATATTGTTTTAAGAACTCCCGAATCGACTAGCATTGCGCGGGCTGTTGGGTCTTACAAACCACAAGTTAGCCGTTTCTTTGGCCAGCTTAATCACCTTCAACAGAAATATAAATTTCCTCCTTCTAGAATTTACAACGCCGATGAAACAGGGGTATCAAATGTGCATAAAAATGATAAAGTCATTTCGATAAAAGGAAAAAAACAGGTTGGTAAATTAACATCTGCAGAAATAGGTCGAAACATCACATTAACTTTTGCGATGAATGTCACTGGTCATTTCATACCACCCCTTTTCATTTTTCCTCGGAAGAAAATGGATAATAACGGTTGCTTGATGATAGGAGCTCCACCAGATAGTATTGCTATTCCTCAAGAGAGCGGATGGATGAACGGTGAGGTGTTCTTCCAATGGTTGCAACATTTTAAACAACATGTTCAGCCAACGGAAACAAATCCTGTCCTCTTAATTTTGGATGGCCACGCTAGTCATAAGGAGCTGGCAGTTATAAAATATGCACGTAATCATCACATTCATATGTTGAGCACACCACCTCATACAACTCATAAATTGCAGTTGTTGGACAGGACATTTTTTAAACCTTTTAAGTCTGCATTTTCTGCAAGTTCAGCATGGATGAGGTGAAATCCTGCAGCTAGAATCACTGACTATGATATTGCTGCAGTTGTGGACGAAGCCTTTAGCAGAGCAGCAAGGTTGGATATAGCACATAACGGATTCAAGTGCACAGGAATTTATCCATTTAACCCTGAAATCTTAACTGACATTGATTTTTTGCCATCAATGATGACAGATGTGATGCAAGAAGTTTCTTCCAAAGAAAATATGGCCAATCAGTTCTCAGTAGCACATTCTTTATCGCCAGTACCCTCCACTAGTCATTACCTGCAAATGAACCGGATCCTTCAACCAGCTCAACAGATATATTGAAACAGCTATCACCATTTCCTGATGCATCAAAAAAAAGTCGTTAAAGCGAAAAACTCAAAGAACTTTACAAAAAAATGTAGAGGAAAGACAGAAAAGCGAAAAAACAAAAAAGTAAAGGCACTAAAAAGATGTTAAAAACAACTAAAATATTCAAAGTCTTTCCAAAGAAAATCGAGAAGAGACTGAATGCATCATATGTTGAGAAACATTTAAAGAGGACTGGATTCAGTGCCAGGAATGCAAAAACTGGGCCCATGAACACTGTGTTTACATAGATTCTTCGGATATTTATTTTAATTGTGATGTTTGTAAGGCCAAAAAACGATTAGGCCAGTATTGATTATTATGTCCGGGGCTACCGCCGTCTTTTGTATCGTCAAGTAAATAAGACCAAAGTATTTTCAATATATTTCTTTAAAAAAATGATATGATTACTAATTTTAATTATTATGATTAAAGAAGTTCCTAGCTTTACTTTAAGTGTAAAATAAAGACAGAAATTTTGTTTATTAATATTTTTAATTGCAATTGATTTTAGTGTCTGGGGCTACCCGAACTTCCCCTACGTAAATTTCCTAGAACACGGCCGCAGGAGTCGAACGCGAGTCAGTTACGTGATAGTAGTATTTTATATCGACAATTTATTACGTTTGGCCACAGATTAATGTAATCTGTGCGCTTGGCTCACCTAGTTTTACCGAAATGGGAATGAAATGTAATTGCTCGTTCAATATTTATTTACACCTTCTCTATTTTTTTTCTATCGATTCGATGTTTCGATTATCTGTTTGTTCGTACTTGTGCAATTTTAATATATTGTAAAGATAAGTAATTATATTGTAAGGATAGTAGACTAAATTCGATCTGTAAGAAGCCGGGTAACTGAAAAATAACAAACAGCAGAAAGTCAGTTACAAATCTTTAAAACTAATTAAAAAAAATGATAAATATGTCACCCATACATATATAATTTATTTAGTTATATAGTTGTATTCATTTTATTTATATATCTGTTTATTTAATAAAATGCTATTATTCCTGGTTTCCAAAAGATCCGGATATATCTATATCCATAACGATTTATTATATCCCCTTTTCTCTAATTATAAAGCGTCTAAAAGCTAAATCTAAGACTAAAAGTGTCTATTACTGAGACATTTTCAGTTAATTAGTTATATCTTGGTGTGAGACTCCTGGAATATCAACGACGCTCAATGTCATTCTCTGTTTTTCGCACACGTTAATTATTGGACCGAGTGGCTATGCCTCCCGACACTGCGTTTTTATAAAATATTCCTTAACGAAATAGTTTATACTTTAATCTTTGTTGCATGAATGCTAGAGACATGTGTATGCGTAATTATGTATTTATTGTTTGTCTATGTGTGAGAGCTGCGAACCGGCGACACGCGTCCTGATATTAAGACAGTAGAAGGCATTTCTACTGCCGTATTATTTAGATTTCTGTGGGTGACATGACATCACGTCTCCGAGTACCGGGACAAACTTGTGTCTGAAGTCGAGTCTTTGCTGAAGTCCAGTTTAACCCTCAGAATACCCAAGATTGCGCGTTAACCGCTAAAAAGAACCTCTTTGTCGTTCTCCTCAGTTTCAAGGTACTCCCCTTGTTGCCTCAGCCAGTATCGGAACACTCGGCGTCGACATATCGAGTGACGTGCAGTTTCATGGTCACTTGGAAGAGAAGGCCAAATTGGCCTCTAAAAAGCTTGGCGTGCTCAGTAGAGCGGGACAGTATTTCATGCCGGCACACCGCCTGCAACTTTACAAGGCGCAGGTTCGGCCGCATATGGAATACTGTTCCCATCTCTAGGCAGGCTGGGGCTTCCCAGTGCCAGCTCCTTCCACTTTACCGCATCCAGCGCAGAGCGGCTCGAATCGTCGACGACTGAGTGCTTTCCGATCGGTTCGATTCACTGGCGCTGGGAAGAGATGTTGCATCTCTTTGCGTATTTTATAGCATCTATCACGGGGAGTGCGCTCTGAGGAATTGTTCGGATTAATCTCAGCCCCCAAATGAACATGAACGCACTACGCGGCAAACCTCCCGATACCATCCACACCATCTGGATGCTTGGCGGTCCACCACTGTACGTTTCACAAGTTTTCTTCCGCGTACGACCTCTGTGGAATAGTTTACCACCGGCGATTTTTCTGTACCGATATGGTCCGCAATTTCTCTGGTGTTGCGGATGTTCATGGGCGGCGGTAGTCACTTAACATCAGATGAACCGTATGCTCATTTGCCCCCTCTTCTGTATAAAAAAGTATCGTCGTAATAACAGCTCAAAATAAACTCAAAAAAAATTACGGTTGCTAAAAAACTTGCTAAAAGAGGGAACTACGACAAGTGTTCCCCCTACGTTCAGCAGTAGACTTTTGATTGGCTATATTCAATTAATGAATGATGGATAATATCTAGAGGGAGCAGCAAGAAAACGGGTAATCCGTTTTCTCGGTGTTCGTTCTTAGTCGATTTATTGGTAGTTGTGATCTAGCGACAAAAGAGAAGGCAAACCGCGGTAGTGCCACTGTTATATCACTATACTACTTTACGTGGTAAAACCACGCTCAGTAGTTGTAGTCCGAATGGGTAGGCTCGACCGGGGAGAGCCACTCTCCACAGAATACCAGAGTAATAGAGCAGCTTAAGGCTGTTGTGTTGAGTGTAGGGAACCGATGACCCATCTTACCGGAAACTAGGCATTTCATCTTAGTGCTTGACAACGCATCTGCATTTTATTTTTAATTTAGGATAAATGTAGATGTCTATGGGTCACAGAATCCGCTTACCATCAGGTGGACTGTGCGCTCGTTTGGCACCCTTATTCTATAAAAAAAAAACTGTGGTAGCAGTGCCCTCTGTGTACGTCCCGTGACACAAACTATGTATCGAATAAATAAACACAGTTTTTTCCTTGTGAAACCCATACTAAAGTCTCAGGATAATTTGGCTGAAATATACCGGCTGAATTAAAGTAGATTTCATAGTGCACTTTCACGACATATTTTAAATTTTGCAACGATAGTACGAAACTCTACATTATTCAACTACGTTTTGTTGTAAGATGTTCGATGAAGCTTCCATAAACTTTCGTTGATATAAACAAGTATCACGATCCGCATTAATAAAAATCACTTATTCTTCACAGTGGTAGAGCCACGCGGCAGCTTTGCTGTTGCACGTATGGGCCGGCTCAAACCGGACCACGACCTCACAGAATACCGGCGTGAAGTGGAAGCTCTGCTTCCGCGTTTCGTCTGGTGTGTGCCGGGGGCCGGAGGCCCAAATCCTCCCCCCCCCCCATCAACATGGTAGCGGAATTAAATGTTGATAGACTACCCCAGGAGGGTACCAGCACCGCAGGGGGAATCCCTCGCTGAGCATCCACGATCATGTTTCTCCACTTCTGAGCGTGAGTGCTCAGGCTGCCCCGCCTATTCTGGGGGGGGGGGGCAAAATTCCGCTCAAGACTACAACTGCTCGGGGCAAACGGAGCAACAAAACCAAGGCGACCCCTGCCAAGCTGTCCGTGAATTTCTGCAATATCAGGGGACTTCACTCTAACCTAAACGCCGTCCACTACCATCTCGAGACGGCGAGGCCGGCTCTGCTCTTTCTGACCGAGACGCAGGTGTCCTCTCCGGCTGATGTCTCGTATCTCTTCTGCCCGGGGTACAAACTGGAACACTCCTTTGTGCCTCGGGCTGGAGTTTGCGTTTACGTCAGAGGACATCTATTCTCGACGCCTCGGCAGACTTGAAGGTTCAGACCTGTCCATCCTTTGGCTACGCGTAGACAGCGACGACCATCCGCGCGTCTACCTCCTCGGCGACTTTAACGCCCATCACGCCAAATGGCTTAGTTCAGGTTTAACCAATCATGTGGGGAGATCTGTTCATGATTTTGCCTTGGCATATGGTCTGACACAACTGGTTACTTCGCCTACGCGGATTCCAGATGTGGAGGATCATGCACCTTCCCTGTTGGACCTTCTGCTGACCTCTCACCCGGACGGATATCAGATTTCCGTTGACGCCCCTTTAGACTCCTCGGACCATTGTCTTGTTCGGAGTGTGGTGCCACTCACGCTGAAATCGCAGGTGATACTTCAGGGTATGGAACTTTTTATTCCTTCCTCTGTGGTGCCCATTGGAGGCAAATCTCAGCCATGGTTTGGTCGCTCCTGTAAAATAGCATCATGCTATAAGCAGGAGTGCTACCAAGCCTGGGCTGACGCATCAGCGTCCCGGGATGTAAACACCAGCGCTCTAAAAAAGAAATATAATTCCGCCTCTAGGTCCTTCAAAAGAGTCATTGCCAAGGCAAAGTCAGAGCACATAGGCAGAATTGGCGAGAAACTAGTCCGCCTTCTGGAACCCGTGCATTCTGGTCTCTCGCCAGGCTGTCCAGGGGAATTTCTGTCAGCCATCTTTTCCATCTCTGCACAGGGAGGACGACTCACTGGCCCATACCGCAAAGGAGAAAGCCGATCTTCTAGGCTCTTTCTTTGCGTCCAACTCGACTCTCGATGACGGGGGGAGTACGCCGCCGACCATCCCGCGGTGTGAGTGCTCCATGCCGGAAGTGCAGTTCACACAGCGCTCGGTTCGCAAAGCACTCCTCTCCCTGGACATCCACAAGTCGAGTGAGCCTGACGGAATCCCCCCAATTGTGCTGAGGACGTGTGCTCCAGAGTTGGCACCGATTTTAAGGCGTCTTTTCCGGTACTCCTACTCCCTAGGCGTAGTCCCAAAATCATGGAAGGCGGCTTTCGTCCACCCGATCCCTAAAAAAGGCGACCGCTCAGACCCGTCCAACTACCGGCCTATCGCCATCACCTCCTTGTTCTCCAAAACAATGGAGTCCATTGTAAACTGCCAGCTCATGAGGTACCTTGAGGATCACCAGCTGATTAGTGACCGCCAATACGGTTTTCGCCGTGGTCGGTCAGCTGGTGATCTTCTGGTCTACCTAACTCACAGATGGGCGGAGGCAGTAGAGTCCAAGGGGGAGGCATTGGCCGTTAGTTTGGACATTGCGAAGGCCTTCGATCAGGTTTGACACAAAGCGCTTCTTTCGAAGCTCCCTTCCTATGGGCTTCCCGAGAAATTGTGCGATTGGATCACCAGCTTTCTTGCAGATCGGGGCATCAAGGTCGTTGTAGACGGTGCAAGCTCCGATTGCAAGCCTATTAATGCTGGTGTTCCACAAGGCTGCGTGCTATCGCCAACGCTGTTTCTTCTGCATATCAATGATATGTTGCAAACCCGTAACATTCATTGTTATGCAGATGACAGCACTGGTGATGCTCTTTATTCCGGCCGAGCCAATATTTCTCGGGAAAACGTCTCCGAGTGCCGGGCAAAATTGTGTCTGAAGTCGAGTCTTTGCTGAACAATCTCGGAGTGGGGGCGACTAAATCTAGTCTAGTTTAACCCCCAGAAGACACAAGTTTGCGCGTTAAGCGCTAAAAAGAACCCCTTTGTCTTATCTCCTCAGTTTCAAGGCACTCCCCTTGTTGCCTCAGCCAGTATCGGAATCCTCGGCGTCGACATATCGAGTGACGTGCAGTTTCGTTGGTTACTTGGAAGAGAAGGCCAAATTGGCCTCTAAAAAGCTTGGCGTGCTCAGCAGAGCGGGACAGTATTTCATGCCGGCACACCGCCTGCAACTTTACAAGGCGCAGGTTCGGCCGCTCATGGAATACTGTTCCCATCTCTGGGCTGGGACTCCCCAGTACCAGCTTCTTCCACTTGACCGCAGCCAGCGCAGAGCGGCTCGAATCGTCGACGACCGAGTGCTTTCCGATCGGCTCGATTCACTGGCACTGCGAAGAGATGTTGCATCTCTTTGCATTTTCTTTCGCATATACCATGGGGAGTGCTCTGAGGAATTGTTCGGATTAATCCCAGCCGCCAAATTTCGTGAACGCACTACGCGGCAAATGTCGCGATACCATCCACATCATCTGGATGCTTGGCGGTCCACCACTGTACGTTTCAAGAGGAGTTTTCTTCCGCGTACAACCTCTCTGTGGAATAGTTTACCACCAGCGATTTTTCCGGACCGATACGACCTGGGGACCTTTAAGAAAAGAGCGTACCCTTTCTAAAGGGCCGGCAACGCACCTGCAATTCCCCTGGTGTTGCGGTTGATCATGGGCGGCGGTAGTCACTTAACGTCAGGTGAGCCGCATGCTCGTTTGCCCCCTCTTCTATAAAAAAAATCCTTAATTTTACAGTCATAGACTAAATGAATTTATCGACGTTTTTTGTTTCGCTAATGGCACATCAGTAGTGGTGTCTATGGAATGAAAAAACGGCAATCATCTTGTAAAAGAAATAAGGCGAGAATAATATAGCCATCTTATTTTGTGCTATGTTAAATATCATATGGATTAACATTTCTCCTATAGAAATTTTGTTCCTATTTTAGGACTCTATGCTAGTAATTACTCTGAGGTTTTTAGCAGACTTCAAAAAGAAGTAGGTATTCAATTCGAGTGTATTTTTTTTGTGTTTTACCCCCGAACTTTATTCTGAGTGAACCTATTTTGATGATTCTTTTATATATGAAATCCGGTGTTTCTTACGTGGTCCTATATAAATTTGATCTAACGAGAAGTTTCGGAGTTACCTTTAAATAATACGTATTTAATTGATAGCTGCACGTGCTTATGTTACGCTATGGCTATCGCACTCATTATGATAGTTTCTTTAACATCTTACCTTTCCTTACAGATATACTACTTCAACTTAATAGTCTTTAACATTGTATACGAGTGGTAATCTCTGAAGAAAACGTAACCTGTGCAATGCCGTGCTCAAAGCTTTCAGCTACGACCACGCCACCTTACCGTCAGGTATATAGTACTCAAACAATAGCTAGTAGTTAAAAGGGAATAGTGAAAGAGTAGAAGAACAATAATTATAATTCCTGAATGTATTAAGACTTTATAATGTAGATAAGTAAATTAAAATAAAAGTATGTTATTTTACATCCTTTCGTTTATTTGCTCAACTTATTGACAATTTCGAAAATCACAGTTAATATTTCTGACAATTGTTTTTGTAACTATCATATTACATGACAACAGCTGCCAGCTATGTAAATTGGGAGTGGGTATAAAATGGTGTTTTTATAAATATTATTAATTTTATTGGCCACAGTATGTTATTACTAATGTTGGGTAATTATTAGATATAAATGAGGATAAAATTTATTTAAGAATATTAGAGAAATGAAAGTTTTTATCATGAAGTGGTAGATAAATTATTAACAGATAATTTTATTTTTAAAAGTATAATTTTAGTTTAAAACAAGGTGAAATACACGAAAATAAAAAACCTAAAAACCTCGACTAGGCAATGCAAAGTAAGAAAGAAGCAAAAAACCAATGACGAAATTTTTCAAATGAAAGCGATCTACAATTCAAACCAAAGAAAAAGCATGTGTTTATTAAATCTGAGGGAATTTGTATGAAAAATTACAATAAGTCATTGGAATAACACCTATAGTTACAATAAAATAAAAGATTGGTGTCACCTGTGATACCACTTACAATTTAGTACTTAGAAATATTTTAATGGTGGGATCATAGCTCCTCTATATACAACACCAACAATTTCAATATTATACTTAATACAAACACTCGAGTCACCTACAACTTTTTACTGTCACACAACTTTGTACATAACATGCGCAAATTACTGGCGCCTATACTGGCTCCGCCTGGTCACATATTTGCGTGAGTCGAATGCACAGAGCATTTCTGTTCAAAGCTGTGTGACATAAACTTTACAATATTATTGCATTCAATTACCACGCTACTTTCAAGTACGTTCCAAAAGTACTATTTTGAAGTTCTACCATTCCAACAATTCACTTTTCATAGGACTGATAAAAACAACTGCTTCTCACAATATGGATTGGATAATACATTACGAAACTATTAGAATATTTTGAATATATTGTTAGCCAATGGGATCAATGTCTGGGATTAAATACCTCATGACACAGACAATTCGTTTTAAATACGAAGTGAATGTAGAATACACATATTAATAATTTACATTTAAAATAACTGCGAGAGAACGTTCACAGAAACGACGTACATAAAATATTATACTCCGAGCCTACATCAAAAACTACAACGCGCAAAAAGCGTCCAGCTTCTTAACATACACATTAAAAGTAATCATTTAAAAGCGGTACCACTAAACGACAAAAAATATTAGGATCGAATATCGTCTTGAGATCAATCATAGTAAATGAAAGGGATGAATCCTTGGATTCACAACTAATTATACGAACACATCCACAGGCCAATCTCACTCACAGCACAAATACACTGTGTTTATTCTATATAGTAACATTATAGTTAGCCGGCGTGGAACTCGAGCATGTGCCATGTGGTGTAAAACTACTGCAGTATACAGAGGAATCTGTTACTCCTGACAACACATCATCAGCAATTCAATCTAACTCATTTAGTGGTTAATGGTCATATTATTAAAGTTTTACAGCTTTAACTGGTTGCACAATGATATTCAAATCAAGTTTTCATTTAAAATTTACTACTGAAAATTCACAACAGGTCTTTCAGTCTACACCATCATAAAATGATGTATTGCTTCAGCAGTTCTGTGGTTTAATGGTCTGTACTCAACAAGGTCTTGCATAAAATTACATTATATTAGGAATTTGCTTTACCACTTAATTGTTATAATGAAATTATATCTTCCACTGAATCCAATGTGCTTTATAGTGTTCAACTGCAGTATAGTGTCCATTTCACTAATGCAACACAACCGGGCACTCACTAAATTAAACAGTTCACAGCACGGTTGGGTTGGCTAGAAATGTATGCTTCAAACCCTTCAATCCGCATAGTAGTGAAAGGGTTGGGTCCCGCGCGTGTCTTTGGTATTACGTAGGGTGTGAATCGAATCCTAGGCTTGTTTCACTCTTTTACGAGGCGGTCCGATTGGGGGGATTTGTTGCTGTTGTGTGGCGAGAGCTCGGAAAGCCTCTGCTATGAGGTGCGGATGTGACGAGATCATGTTTTTCCAACCGGCAGTATCCATAACATCCGTCGCGTGACTCCTGAAACATAGTCATGATACACTAAAACTAATGCCTCCACAAATAAAATAAACAATTTCAAATGATACATCCATGTACTTATAGTTATTAAGTAATTTCAAATAACCATATATTGCACAGAAAAAATAACAATACACACTATAATAATAGTACTAATGCGAGACAAAATCTATTTATTTGCTTAAATTGTTTTTCTAATATATTACATAGAAAGATATTTTAAATATATGAACTTTATAAAACTATATCTAAAAATATTTGAATTTTGCTTTAAATTTCACAGCATGCGAGGTACCCTGGTTGGATACCTGTCAATTGTTAATTGCAATTAAAAGTGCTGCTTCATCACATCCTTGGCAGTAAAGAAAAGAATTGTAAGGAAACCGAGGACATGAGAAGTCGGTTCACGCTCTGAAGTAGGGCCACTTAAATTTCGCACCTACTTCTCAGAAATGATATGAGGCATTTGCTCAGCAGTGTGGTGTATAAAGGCTGTAACGGAACCTCATTTTTATATATTGTGAACCAAGTGATGGATAGAACATTATTAGTAACGTCTGAACAGTATGAGAGCCTATTATGGGAGGTTAACACAACATTTGATTGAAAATATACATTTGACACCCCATAAAATGAAATGAAAAAGTAATAAAAAAGTCTTTCACTTAATGAGCCAGAATAATAAAAAGATGTCTTTTATTAATTTATGCTTTCATATATTTTTTAAATTCCTTTTAATATGGAAAGAACAAATAGTATTTAAATATCAAATTAAAAATATGAAATGAACTCAGTTTCAGTCAGCATAATCTATGATTGTAAAACATAATTTATATAATTTTGATGTTATGATTAATGATTCATTAGGATTTTTTGTCAAGTAATATCAGCAGCAATAGGTAAAGCTTCATACATAAGTATACCTAACTTCTAATAAAAAGTTCAGGTAAATCTAGGTTTCAAATTTTTAGCCTTCAATAACATAGCAATATTCATAATGATCAGACCCTCTTATAAATAAATGATGTTTATATAATTTTTAGTTATATTATTACTGATTTGACTTCTCATTATTAACACTTACTATCTGGTCATCGTACATAATGTCCTTTTTAATCACTTGGTCCGTAACATAATCATCATTGTTATGCGGAAATACGTAAATCGAATACAATTGTTCTAATAAAAGCATAAAAATTAATAAGATCAATGGGACTGACGTGTTAATGAAGTCAATGGTCTGGGCTTTGAGCTGGTCCGCTGAATGTAGGTCCGCCAATATAAGTGTGTCAGCCGCTGTTTCCACTGACAGGCTCAAGCAAAGAGCCTCTTCGCACATTACTTTTAATCTGTCTAGCGCATACTGAAATGAAAAATTTTACATATAATTAACTGAATAATGGGTTTTAACATGTTACTTAAGTAGAGGACAAAGTTTCTAGAATCTAAAATAGATCAGATTACCTTAGGGGCCATTCATTAATTATGGGGGGGGGTTTAAAAAAAATCTACATGCCCTTATCTTGTTAGTTGGGAGAGGGAAAATATCCATTCTTACGGAATATTTTGTAAGTCGAAATTTAATATTAGAAATCTAGTTCCATTTCGGACGCCAAATGGTTTTCTTCATTCTATAATGTACACTTTGATTTACATCTTTATTTGACAAATATTGTTTATTAAAATTTTAAAATCTTAAATGTGTAAATTTTTATGCATTTTAAATGTTATAAATAATAAATAGTACATTCTTCCCGACAATTGATATCTGAATTGATCTAGCTTTTACCACTTTTACTGTGTAATTTATTTAAGATTAATTTAAAACTGGTTTATCATTATTTAATAGTTTTCGTTTGTAAATTGTGAAGATTGCGAACTGATTTATGTTTGCTCACTTTCAGATAATTTAAAAACTTCTAATATTGATTAATCGTCTAATAATAATATAATGGTAATCTATATTTGATATCAATAAAAGTTTGTAATCTAAGTTACCTGTTAAAAAATAAAAATCTTAGATTTACGTCAACTGTGAGATTTAGTATTCTGAAAAACGAGACAGAATCTTACGTAAGAGGGATGGGGGGGGAGGGTTCGAGAAATCTTATGTACCCTTACATGGGGGTAGGGGATGAATGGTCCCTTACACTTAATGCTAGATTTAAAACTAAGCTGGAATAATGTATTTATAAAGCTAAAAATATGAAATTTTGGTTTTTAAGGATCTGTTAAGTAGTGAATCTCACTGTGTACTTGAGACTGCATCTGGTTAAGAATACCAATATTATTGAATCAACTGTTGGATATATATGCAGCCCGCAAGTGAGGTGGATTTTTGTATTTGCCACATATGGCAGATGGACTGGTCACCAGTAACAAACACTACACATCTTAGATGCATCCCGTTACAGATATTGCATATTCTCATTCCGAGCCGAAATTAAAAGTATAGTCAACCAAATCTAAGAAATACATTTTGACAGCTGTCAGAATTATTGCACCAAGCATGCCAACCAAAAGATGGGAACATACAATATTCGATCTTTAAAAAAATCGATATCGATTATTTAGTTAGTAATCATTTACAGTTTGGTGCGAAAATACCAGAATAAATTAAAAACCGATAATTTAAAACACAAGATTTATCAGTTTCTTCGTATTTGTTGTTACTGCTTATTTCTAGAGGCACAGTTATAAAAATTTAAGACTGAAACTCGATTAAAAATAAATTTATTCAAGCACTTTCAGTACAACTAGTAGGGACGTCGTTGTTTATACTAATTATTATTTAATTTTAAATAATGCAGTCAAAATTAATGTCTCTTTCAAGGTCATCCATAATCAATTTTCTTGTTTTTTCTACCACTTTTGCCCAATCATCCCTTGTGACAAGTGCACATACTTCAACGAATATTTTTTATAGCATTGGGTGACAAACGAGCACACACTCCACCTGATGGTAAGTGGATGCCATGGCCCATAGAGATACACATTTATCCTCACTTAAGAATCAAAATGCAAATGCGTTTGTCACGCCTAAGGACTAAGATGGAATGCCTCGATTCCAGTAAAAAGGGTCTCCAGTTCTCTACACTCACCATACGAAGCAGATCAGCATTATGCTGCTATTTTACGCCGGTATTCTGTGAGAGCGTGGACCTGCCCTGGTTGAGCCAACCCATTCGTGCTACAACTATAATATAAATTGTAGCGTGGCTCTACCACGTACAAAAAGTTATTATAAAAGAAACAGTCCAAAAAATTAATGCCAAGTCACAAAATAAGAAGACAAATCACAAAATTACGCACAGTAAGCTCTCGAAACAGAAACAAACTTTTTTATTTAATATAGATTATGAATAATACTTATTGAAAGTCACTTTTTTCATTTACCACTGGTTCGCAAAAAACCCTCTGTACTGGGAAGAACCAGCAAGAAATACTATGGGACTAGTTTTTTTTTAAAATTAAGAGCTTACAATCATGCGTGTTACAATTAACAACACAAAACAAATTAGAAATAGCTTGGTAGAGATCACCCTTCCCAGGGGTTATTATAATCCATAAATTCCTTATTATTAAAATAACGATTTTTATATAAACAGTTTAAAAAAGTTTTTGAAATTAGTGTACTGACGTCAAATTTTGTATATTTTCTGGCATTTTGTTGTAAATGCGTATAAATCGCCTCAAGAATGAATTACTGATTCTGTGGAGTCGAGTAACTGGTACCGAAATGGCGGGATGTTGAAATTATGTAGTGGTTATTTTAGTAGTAGCCTTGTATAATATGAGTTTTTTGCCTGCACAAATTTACTTTGACAAAGTGAAAAAATTAACACTTTCACGGGCGGTACGTGATAGTACGTCTTAATGTACGGTTTTGATATGACACAACGTACCATGACGTTCAAAAATAAAAGAACATGTACGGCGGAACGTTCATTTCCGATGAACTTTTATATAAAAATTCTATGATTTGGAGCTTGTGTCACAACATATCAAATACTCTGAACTTTACTGTCATATAGAATAGGTTTTTGACCATTTCAAAAATGTGTTCTTGGCAATGTGTGGCAACGCTACACACACACGCACAACGTGATTATACGTCCCGCACGCCTCCAGTGTCCCTACATTTAGTCCGACTGTGTCACGAGTGGGGCGCACGCGCGTTTTAGCTTCACAGGAGCGATTCGTAGTAAACTTCGTCGACACACAAAAGCATCGTAAGTATTATTTATGTAATTGTTTTTTTGTTGTTTTATTGTGAACTGTATTATAAATAATATTGCTCTATGAAAATGGTATCTTACTGGTTATTTTGTTTGTTTTAGATGGAAAAACGCAAGACAAATCCGATGAAGATTTTTGAGGATTCGGATAGTTCGACCGCACGTTCGACGTATAATGACGTTGTGATATTACTACTATTCATCTACGTAATACAACATGATAGAACGTATATATACGTTGGACGTTATTGTACGTTGTGTCCATAACACATCTTATTAGTTGTACTAATTATGACAGAACGTATGTAAACGATGACGTGATAAAACGTTTCTGTCACAAAGTCTTCAAAACATCTAATATTATGGCAGCACTACGTATATAAACGTCAAGTATATTTATATGGAAATTTATTGTGTCATTCTAGAACACAGATTCAACTGGTACCGTCCGTGAATGGGTTAAACTTTTTTATTCATGGTTCATGTAATTTACGGAATTTTGAAAATAAAAATTAAATTAAACAAATAATGCACGAAAGAAATTTATGATTCGATTTTTAGAATATTTTTACTGATTAATTGAATATTTTGTCGATTATTCGCTTAACAATAAATTTTAATCATCCAAACACTACGGTAATATACATAGCGACATATCATTGAAACGACGTCAAGTAAAAAAAGTTAATACTGGTTATTTTTTAATATTTTGCTTTGTTTGAAAAATTCAAATTTAAATTAGTGATAAAAAAATCTATTCACGTTGTAATGAAATATAGATAACTTCACAATTCTTCGGATTTACGTAAATGGTGATTTCAAATCGTGTGAATACGCTTGTGAAAAGTTATTGCGGAGTGATTAATGTGAAACGTCAAAAGGTATTTCTTAGATTTGGTTGACTATAGTTACAAAATTTCTGGTCTTTTTTTTTCACTATAATGAGGGATTTTTTTATTCATGTTTATTTCATATTCCACCACCTGGTAATTGGTAATTCCACCAACTGGTAATGGTATTGTGTTCCATAGGCCACGTACATTCTATTCTAGATAAACAATCAAAAAAAAATCAAAATGTGTTGTTACCTCTGAGGATTAAAGGTCTCTCCTTGGTCGAACCGACCTTAGCTATGCTGCAATTATAATGCAGCTGAAATGTGACTCTACCATGTAAAAAATTATATTATCTTGAGTCTATTTACCACCTAAGAGCCTTAAGCAAGATTGAAGTTAACACTTGAAGGCAGATTAATTGGAATAAGGGCGCATACAGTATTCGATTCTTTAGGGTTTATAATCAATTACAGTTTTATCTAGATTAATGCCAAAATAAATTTAAACTCGCTTATAATCACTTGCTTATTCAGAGTCCAGTATATACTTTGTCAAGGTCAATTAATAAAGTAGAATCAGTCCAAAAAAGTAATAGTGACAAAGTGAGATTAATCACACAATATTAAATGTGTGCACACTTTTCAAGATGGCTACAGAACAATTTAACAGAGTGGCTACAGAGTAGAGACTGCACAGACCGCACATGCTATGTATATATGAGATTATGTATTTTATAATATTATAGTGCTGCCTTAGATACAAGCATTTTATATCTACGCAGAATCACGCTTAAATAGCAGACTATTACAAACTATTAAAAAAAGAATTGGTGTTTTATCCATGTTTTAGTAATTATTAGCAATATTATTTACATAATGTAAAAGTTCGAATATTTGCATATTTTTACCGATTATTCTTATAAGCATGAATTGCAATTACCTAATATACTAATACTATATAAAATACAGTGCAGTTGCTATAGGCTGTAATAATTACAACATTATTGTCTAATATAAGCGTACACATGTGTATTAAAAAAGTACTCAACAGCTATAAACTTACTTTGTCGGCCGCTGCTAATAGATCATCGGCCATTTTGTCTAGATTTGGCGCGCGGTCCGTGTAAATAAAACGTAGCATCTCTCGTAAGACTTCGTGATCTACGTCGGTTATGTCCACTCTGTTTCTTTTTCTTTCTTCCATTTCATGTTCGAACATAGCCGCAAACACAGGACTTCGTGCTGAAAAAATATAAATATAGAAAATTAGTACAATGTTCATGACAACGGGTTATGAAATGTGTAGTGTGGTATAAGATAATCCATTGCCCTATATCGTTCTGGCAGTGTCGTAGGAGAAGACGAGAGGGAAATAAACCAGGAGACAACATGAAAACTGTTAGAAAATAAAAAACTGTGACTGCCAACCCGCCTGACAAGCGTGGCAGCTATGGCAAATATCTTCTTTATGAGGCAATGTATGTGGAGGCCTATGTTTAGCAGTGATCTGTGATAGGCTGCCATTGCAGTCCATTGACATAACGTGGACACGAAAATATTTTATCAGATATAATTCTTGCTGCAATCAAATCTTATTTTTATATAACTCGTCCTACATAAATCGGACTGGTAACTTTCACCAATTGGAGATATAATTATTTTAAAATACTATTATACGTAGTTGTAGCTAGTTGTACCCGCGAATCGACCTCGTGATTGCAAGATTAAAAAAAATATTTCTTTTTAACCATTTGAGATATTACTCAATCATATGAATCAATAGATCCTAAACTAAGACAAAATGGGAACAAAATATGTCATAAACAGAGAAACCATTTCGAAGCTGAATACTCGAAATTTTACGACACAACCAAGTTTATTTATGTATGAAGTTTTACTTACAAAATTGTATAATATACGTTTTTACTTAAAAAAAGGTGGAAGTCTGTTGTCTGTTTGGGGCACGTCCTGTCGAATATGGTGGATGAGGAAAGGTATCTAGCCTTAGCTCTGCTAATTTTGCCCTCACGTCTTTGCCGTCAACAGTGCGTATTTAGTTCGTAAGGCTGCAAATGATCTAATATTGTTTTGACACTGACACCAGAAGCCGACAGTAGCTCAGTCGTAGTTTGAAGCGGAGGTTTTAACTAGCCACCTTCAGTTCGTAATATTTTTAAATTCGTCGTTTAATTATATTTCTCTGGACGACTACGAGATTCCCAGAGATACGGAAGCGATTTAACTATTTGAAGATAACATTAAACTAATTATGATTTTTAACAACAGACTATGTTATATAAAATGTAAATATGTCAGTATGTTGCATTAAGCGCTTAGTACAATCCGCTAAGGCATTTAGAAATTGCTACGGCATCTTAGAACAAGGAGAAAGTCGAATCAAATGTCTTAAGGAGGTCGTGCGTCATTAGATACCAAAAAACAACATTATGAAAAAAAGTATTAACATTTATAATATAATTATTTGCGTAAGTGCTGCAAAAATTCTCTTTTGATGTAAAAGGAATAAAAATATAATAGGGTAAGTTAGCAAATTAAAAATACTAATCGTAAAATATTAAATTTTAATGCAGGGAGGCAATCTACGACTCCAGATACTGTAGAGAAGAAAATAATAAAATCTAGCAAATGACACGTGGTGGAATAATTTTAAAAAATGTGTGGTGTAAAATAACGCTAGCTTTTAAAAAACCAGACTGAAGTTTGGAGATGACAGAATTTTTTAAACGGAATAAGTGTGTGTCTAGCGGATGTATGTAATTTTCGTTGTATTATATAAATTAAATGCTTTCTGGATTATAACAAAAAAAAAATAGTTTAGGTAAAATTTTGTTTAGCGTTAATTATTATCGTTACGGGTACGAGTAGGTTTGGGCGCGTTAACTTTCTGAGAACACGCGTACATTTGCAATACTAGAACTAAATCCCGTCCACTTAACTATGGTTCCGGGGTTGTCGGTGTGTGCGTTTGTGTGTTTGTGCGTGTGTGTGCGTGTGTGTGCGTGCATGTGCGTGTGTGTGCGTGTGTGTGCGTGTGCGTGCGTGCGTGTGCGTGCGTGCGTGTGCGTGCGTGTGTGTGCGTGCGTGCGTGTGTGTGTGCGTGTGTGTGTGTGCGTGTGTGTGTGTGCGTGTGTGGCGTGTGCGTGCGTGCGTGTGCGTGCGTGTGTGTGTGTGTGCGTGCGTGCGTGTGTGTGTGTGTGTGTGTGTGCGTGTGTGTGTGCGTGTGTGTGTGCGTGCGTGTGTGTGTGCGTGCGTGTGTGTGTGCGTGCGTGTGTGTGTGCGTGCGCGTGCGTGGCGTGCGCGTGCGCGTGCGTGTGTGTGTGTGTGGCATTAAATTTTGACAATTTAGAAAAAGTAGAATGTTTAAAAGCCACAAAAGAAGTTTCTGATTTCGAGTGAGGAACGCATATATTTTTACGCATTATAATTCTGCGGCATATTTTCCCCGCTCATTAAAAAGCACTCCTTCAAAATCATTCGTTTATTAATAGTCATTAAAAATTAGCTAATAAGTATTCTCACTATATACGGCCTATCATGGAATCAAAAATCATTAAATGCTCATTAAAACTAATACGAATCTACCTATTAGTGTTGCTTTGTTCAAAAGATAAGCTAATCAATATTCATATATTCAATATTCTAAACATTTCACGATTTTCCTTTATAAAAGTTATAAGGAAACCGAAATTTATTTGATTCCCGACTTAATCCCGGCTGTTTCCTAGAATTCCACCTGGAAACACTCGTACCTTTTTCTGGCGCCAGATCCAGTGCACACCTTACTGTTCTGGTTTGAGCTGATCGACAGCGATGTGTAATAGTAATAACAGATTGCGGGATATTTCATCTTAGTCTTAAGGGAACGCACCTGTCGCCATCTTTGTTTTTGGTTGATTACAGGTGTGGAACATGAGATGTTTAGTGCTGTATTAAAAAAAGGTAAATCACGCAAACCAGCAACGCTAGCTAGTTACAATTACCTGCTAAGATTGCTTTGTGCGCCTGAAACTCCCGGCCGCCGACGGCCAACGTAACGTCCGAGAAGCGCTCGTTGTCGAACAGCGCACCGAGGTCATCGGACAGCCGGCACTCGGGCACCTTGAACTGTACCACATTGCTCTGGCCGCTTATGTTGATGCTGTCTGCGACCACCGACACCTCGCAAAATATCGTCAACTTGTCCTCGGGTAGCAAGCCGTTCGCCTCGTCTAGCAGGAAGTCTCTGTAATTTACGATGTTTACAGTTAACGTTTAGTGGTGAAACAAAATGTTATATTATTAATCTTAAATAGAGCAATCCCAAATCGTACAGACTGGTGATGGGATTACACTGCTTGTATTGTGCGCGAGAGAGGATATTGGGTTTGCGGCTCAATAACCCGCATACTGACTGAAGACTGAGAGTGGTGCTTCCAAAATTTGTTCATCTTCTAAGAAATCCATCCTTAATGCAAGTTTGGAAAAAAATTATGTTCACAAGTGGACTAAATAGACTGTTGGTCTTAGATAATAGTAAATATTTTTGGCCCATGCCCGTAATTCGTCGTTTACAAACGTCGTCGTTTCTAAAGGGGCGAACTTCAATTTTTTTTATATTACATGATAGAAAGCCTTCATTATTTCTCGATTACTAGTTTTTTTTTTCATCAGAAAATTAAAAATATTAGATTTAATGGAAAACTACAAATAAGATTAATTCTCCCAAAAAACAAAGACTAGATTACTAGAACAAAGCTAGTAATCGGGGAATAATTAAAGGTTTTCTTGCTCTCTTGTAAATTTTTAAAATTAAGGTTTGCCCCTTTGCAGCGTAACTGACGAATTGATTATTACGGTCTGATGAAGAAGTTTAGCCTACTGTTATTTGAAACTTAATAATTTTGAGTGGAAAGAAAAGGTTTAATTAAATGTAATTTTTTAAATTCATTATAACACAACCTGTGGAATTGTTATAAGGAGTGCAATTTTCTTCAAGTCCCTCCCTGCATTGATCTTTCATTGCTTTAATATCTGTTGTGTGATAGTAGCGTTATAGAATTCATCACCTATGTCGTTCTACAAGTGTGCCATAAGGAAAAAGTGATTTCAGGTATACTGCAGTATATACCGGACATAAAAGAGAGACCGTTGTCGGCCAAATGGCAATGAATTGTTTGCAAACTGTTGAGGAAAATAATACAGTGTATTGAATGTACCGAGTATTTTTACTATTTTACTACTAGTGGTTCGATCTCAAATTTTATAGAGGGGTTTGCCAATGAGAAGCAAAATTCCGAAACAAAACTACAAAGACTAGTAATGGGAAGCAGTGTTGCCAGTGCGAGGGTATCATTTCTGCATTTACTGTTCCAGTGCCCAGTCAGATATGAATGGAAACCAATCTTTCGATTTATGTATGCTGTTTAGCATATACTTGTAAAATGTTGTAAAGCAAGAACCCATAGTACAAACACAGGATGAAAGAAGTTACTGAACTTCCTTCAGACCTTAGCACACGATACCCACAATCTGATCATTGTTCTATGTTCATCTATGTAGGTTTGAGAGTAATAGTTCCGCCTAGATGCTATAATCATAAAATGTCAATTTCCTATATTAAAAAAAAACTATATTTAAAGTGATGAGTATATTGTTTGGTGCATTACTGGGAATAACATAGCAGTGAATTCATATATTCCATAAAGAAAAATCACCACTAGATACAATTTGAAGTATGTTACAACTTAACATTATGAATATTAAATAAAATATCTTATCAGATTATTATAAATTATTAAAATTATTTAGAAACGTTATTGTTACACTATTCTATTTTACAAATAAAAACGTATTTAATCACCAATTTAAGTATTCGAATTACATTTCACGATTCTTGTGCTCAGGAATTACAATGTAGATTTTTAATTCAAATCCCAATCGAATTTAATATATTTATATGCAAACATCTTAATGCGAAATAACACATTGAGAATGCACTCTAGTCTATATTCGGTCTTATCGACTAAGCTATAAGTTTCATATCAGACACCCAGGTAAAGAAATACCTTCGTTATATGTTCTGCGTAGTAACAAATATTTTACGAACGTTATTATTCAAAAATCGCCACGGCATATAAGATCATCATCATGTTTATTTATATTAATAGTCCAATTGCGTAGGTTATTTTTTTTCTTTAATCAATCTCGATTAACGTACAAGGTAGAAGTCTGATAGTTCAACACTCAACAGCACGCTTTTATAGTCTAACATAAGGTTAAATACCGATGACATAATTTTATTGAGGCAAATGAGGAGTGCCGTTCATGGAGTCATAAAAGGCGCCTGCTTCCGGCTTGGACCATCGCTCTAGGAATCAATAGTATTTAATGAATTGATTCGAAAAAAATTATTTAATTACATTTAAAGTTATTAAGGAAATTAACAAATAATTTTCCCAACAGACGCTAAAACGAATAAGGTGGTAAATTTATACAATTGGCCGTTTATATTCTACATTTTCTTATCAATTTTTTTGTGTTCGATAGCTAGGTATAGTCACGTGTATTAATAAATATTTAATTCATAAACTTGTTATAAAAATTTATAAACCTTATTTCAATGGCGTAAAGATATCATGTTGTTTCAAAAACCTATACTTAAGAGGTGAGAGTAAGTCAGCTCAAATTCTAATTTCGCCCCCACTTCCCCGCGCGTCGTATGCTATGTACCGACATGTTTGTAATCACTAATACTCTAAGTAGATAGGTCGTTAGATAATTATTTCATTATGTTTATCATATATATGCCTGTTTATTAACGCCAACCCAGTCGCTTCTTATTTTTATAACGGTTATTTCCCATTTTAATTTTACGTCTTCCTGTTGCGTAATGTGTTTTCTGATCGTAAGCGACACAACTTCTCCCTTCAAAAGCCGGAGCAATACTAACGGAGCGACAGGAACCAAGCTTACGCGCCGATAGTTTAGGTAATTTCTTTTTTACAGTGAAAATAATGATATTTTAAAAAAAGTAAATAACATAAGCACTGCTTTATGGTTAGTTCAGTTAGTAAGCAAAGTTTCATGATCTTATTTAAAGTATTTTATGAATAACAGCGGTTTATTGTTCAGTTTGGAGGTAACTTTGGATTTTTTTCTATCGAGAAAATTTTACGGAATCGTGTTTTCATCTAACATAAACCTTAACATTAATCCTCAACTTTACCATATATTTATTTCAAAATTAATGCTGCAATACTTTCGGCATAACGGAGGATCTTGCTAAGCCATTTGAGGTTATATTTCCCCTTAATGATTTCTTATATTTACGCGAACACTATATACGACGTTTCGGGCGCTTTCCAGCACCCGAAACGTCGGGAATTAAAAATAAAAGTAAATAAAAAGTAAAAATAAACGCGATAAAATCCGTAAAAGTAGTTTTAATCAAAAACCTATACTGTTAAAATTATAGTGACTGGATGTTTAAAAAAATGCTAAATATAATTAAAATGATTAATATAATATGATGCCATTATAAAGGCACTTACCTTCTGATAAACTTTTTGAAACCCCAATCTTTTCCTTGAACAAATCTGTACGCTCGCTGCGACTCCATCGCCTTAGTCTCTTCTCGTTTCGCGTTTAATATTGAAAACTTGAACTTTGCCCGTACCTCTGATTTATTACACGACACTAATAATAAATATAACGATAAGTAGTCTTTGCTCTCTTCGTCTAGACCTTTTGGGTTCACGCGAAGACACCATTTTAACTTGTCACTAGCACCGGCAGAGAATGTCGATGATTTTAACACTTCACCCATCTCTTCTCTACAGAAACTAAAATTGTTTATAGTCCACATGTAACTAAACTTCACCACTTTCACCTGCAACAAAAAAAGGTCTCCGTTACATACTTGTGTTACATATTTTTTCAATGTTCATATTTATAATGTTAGTATCACAACAATGAAAACAGTGTCTTTTAATTTGTCTTAAGTTAAGAATATATGTTTACACCCTGAGGAGATCGTTGAACGTTCAAGAGGTCTGGTAGATCCTGCTATGCGTGGCGATTCAGAAAATTTCTTCCTAAAACAGAAGAGGCATATGACTAGGCCTTAACCTTTACGGACTAATAATGAAGACGAAGAAGGGATAAGTTAACTAGCTCTTATTTGTTGTCCTTCCTGTGTATTAAGTCATACACATCTATCATAACAAACTAGTATCATTATTTTTGTTAAGACTTTCATTAATTTATTCATCACAGCCCATTGCTGAACATAGGCCTCCCCAAAAAATGTCACAGTCTTCACTCAATCTAGTGGTGGAACGATTGTCGAACGTAGAGGCATAATTTGTACAAATTTGCAAATTTATGACAAAGGCCACAACAAAAGGGCACAACTAAAGTACAGGTTAGTCTCCAAGCGAACGGATGAAGGAAACGCATGAATAATGGATGCTGACAGACATGAACTTATTTCACGAAACAAAAGTTTTTTTTTTTTGGAGTTTATGGCCTGGTATGTAGACCTTTAGGCCAAGTCTTGAGTATTTTTATTCGGTATATTATAATTTCCCCACTGTATTTTTGATAAATTTATATGAGGCACGTAATAGGATCTAAACAAAAGCTTTACCTTGTAAAGTCTACAGATTATAAACACTCGAACCACTTGAAAAGCCTTTACACAAATTAATTTAAAGGCTCAGTAAAAGACAATGTGTTATGGTATCAAATTTATAGCAAATTAAGTTTTTGTTCATTTCACGATCGAAAGATTTCAAAGAAGTATTATATAGAGATATCTTTACTTCCACAGCTGAATACAATATCAATGTTGTTTGAACGGAACATATTGTTCGTAATCAGTAGAGTATTTAAGGTCGGGATAAAATGTCGACATTCGTTGGCACATTATAGGGGTCAACATACACAATCCACTGTGGTGTTCATTAATAACCGAATACGCTGCAGGCCCTAAAGTCGTAAGTCTTTCAAATTATAAAGGTAATTGACAACATTTTTGATTATTAAAAAGAAGAGTATTCGTTATTTACATGCACCCAGGGAAGTTGCAGGGAATATTCACTAAGGTTTGAAAAGACTTAACAAGTGATAGGTACATGAGCGCATGGTCTGTGGGGGTCATGAGGACTAGTCGAAGCATCGTCCGCAGACAGGCTGGTCGTTGCCCCCAAACCGTTGCTTGGCTTGCGGGCTTGCGGTGCTGCTGGGGTCTTCGCCCGGTCACCGACCCGTTCCAAGGCCGACCGCATCATCCCCGCGCGTTTGTGCACCTTACAGATAACGCTTGCGAATACTAAAGCTCACACACGATACCCTTTACACCGTCGTTGTAGTCTTATTATGACGTTCTCGTCATTGCACGTCTTCTTCAATTTATATTAAGTACGTATAATAACAGCAGCATTATGTTCAGAGTTTGCAGCATGTAAGAGCACTATAAATATGATACGCCATATACGGTTCAGAAACAGAATACGCGATTCAGAATTGGCATTAATTAAGAATAATTTAAGCGAGACTAGTGGTCCTTTATCATCTTCAGCTAAGTCACCACTTAGCATCAGGTGGGACAGTAGTAAAGGCTTTTATTAGGTAAAAAAATATGACGTTACCTCTTTAAGGCGTTGTTCATATGGTCGATGGCACGTATAGCTCATGTGCCCATCAATCGAAACACAAAATATTTCTGAATTTTCGTCAGATATCAGTAATCAACTTGTCGACAGTATGACAAAATATCTCTGACTGGCTCACGTACTCCTTATCACTACGAATTTGAAAAATGCGATAGATAAGCCAATCTTGTCAATTTCGCATTGGCTTTTAAAAACGGAGACTTAAATTTAGAGAATAGAGAGTATTTCATTCGATAATTTATTTAGATTGAACACTTATCGAAATTCCTATAAAATAATGTGCATTTAAAATGATAAGTAAAATAATTATATCGTAACGATTCATCCAAATGAGCTACGTCCAATAGTAGTAGGTATAACACAAAGCAATAAATTACGAACCCGATGTTAACGTTAATATTGCAATGTAAATTGTATTCACAACAAAGGCACGTGGAAGTCAGAGCAAGTTGGCGATCACGTGTTCTAAGGTTTAAATTATTCTGAGAAAAGCATTGCGCAATCATTTATGCGACTGATTATTACTTCTCCTTAACTGTGCTCGCGAAAAATGCTTGGTATTATATTCTTGTTATCGGTTCTATAATAAAATAATACTACGTTATGTACGTGACACATTTAAAAATAATCAACTGCTTTTAAAATAAAGGAGATAGTTTTGCAATGCCTTGTGAACGTGTTAAAAGGAAGTAGCACTGAGAAATGATTGATAATTTTTTTATATTTTTCTATACACTGTATTTTATATAAGTGAAGACGCTGGTGAGGTCAGTGATTTAAGACTGAGCATGGAAGTTTTTTGCAAGACGCTATAACAAAGATGTTCAACGCTATTCCCAAAGACTAGTTTTTTGAGAAATAAAAAGATGTAATTAGGGGTATTTCTTTTTGCTTAGACAAATAAGTAAAGGTACAATGATAATTGGTTTATTTTAAAATTAGTCTCTTTTATTAATCCCATCAAAAATATTTGTAAAAAGTGATTTTTTATATATTTTGTACTAAAAAAATTATATACCACGTTTTTTTCATATATTCCTACATTGTCATCAGACTCTGACCTATGTCAAAAACTTCAAATCTCTAGCTTATCGGGAAGTGCTTGAAATTTGGGTTACAAGATTCCACCCGAGACGATAGACAGAAAAACAAACAAGAGAAAGTGACTTAATAAAAACGTGGTAAAAAGGGGGCCAAGTTAGGTACAAAGGACGCACGGGGTTGTCGGCTTTGCAGATAAAATTAGTAGTTAAAATCAGAACCGGTGCCAAGCTCCATAGGTTAGCACTTGCATAAAATGATAGCATCTATACGAATCTAGAACGTTCTTGAAACTGCTATAGAACTTTGCACACGTCAAGATTTCAACTTTTTTATCGGCGAGGCCGACATCTCCGAACGCCGGTGTACAGAACTTTGCCCCCTTTTCACATGTCATGTTTATGACTTTTTTTGTAAGATAGCGTGACAAACGAGGACACAGTCCACCTGATGCTAAGTGGTTATCGTGGCCCATAGACATCTACATCTATTCTCGATTATAAATCAAAATGCAGATGCGTTGTCACCCCTGAGGACTAAGATGGAATGCCACGTTTCCAGTAAAATGTTTCAGTCTCCCTCTGTCGCTTCTTACGACACCCACGGGACTATGGTCACACACCACTCACACGCACACACTCACTCACACACTCACACACACACACAAACGCACGCACGCACGCACGCACGCACGCACGCACGCACGCACGCACGCACGCACGCACGCACGCACGCACGCACGCACGCATGCACGCACTCACGCACGCCTATTAGGTATTGATAAATGACTCAGTGTAGTCAGTGAATTAGATAGTCTCTTCACATTTTAGACCTTAATATCTCAAGAACTTCGAATATAGACATGCTTATAAACGTAATCAATTGCTCAAGAACTTTTATTATATACATGGCATAAAATGATCAAAGCTAAAGCACTATATGTGTTTGTTTGGTGATATGCAAAATTACAAGTGTTGTACAAGTGTGTAACCCCCCCCCCCCCTAATAAGTTATGGGCGTATGGGGGTGGGGATTTAGTGCCGTGTGTCTAAATATGGCAATCATTGTGAAAATAAACATATTAAAATATATTGATAACTAAAAATTTGAGAAGCATGACCATAACCGCCATGCGATCGCGTCTCCGGATCGAACTCGAAATTTACCGTTATTGTTTGCGAACTGAATAGATTTTTTGGACATAAAAGTAAAATGGTAACACCCGGTTGACGGCTAAGCCGTTCAACGGTTGTTACAATTTTTCGAGCATACACCAGGAAACAAATGTTGAACAACGCAATAATAACCAATCCGACCTCGACGAAACAACCGGTCACATTATACGAATTTCACCGTGATGATTGCTAGTTACGCGTACCGTATAAGCCTTTGTATAATTGTTTATTGAGGGAAATATATTATTTGAAAGTAGAGAATATATTAAACATAGACAGCGACACAAAGCAAGCAGTGCTTCTTATTTAAATTACGATGTGTAGGAACAAATTATCATTAGGTCGTTCTTGATTTTTAATAGAGATGTTGGTGTTCTTTTTACATTTATTTACAAAAATTATTTGCACCTACTACGTACATTGACACTACAATACAAATATGAGCATGTAATGACACAGAACAGTTTAACCAAAAAGTTAAAGATAATAATAATATGTACATAGGTTTTGTAATGTATTTGGAAATATGTAATATTTCCTGTCACTTGATTAATGTTTACCCTCATACTTTATGTTTAAAGTAGGTACATGAAACATGTTTCGATGATATTATCTAAAATGCGATACGTGTTTATTAAGCAAGTATGTTTACACGATCAATACGAGCATATCGATAGTTTACAATGCTATAAACGCAGAAAACGGGCGGCAATGTCGCCAACAGACGCCACATGTCACGTTGTATCATTGTTGCATACCGCAACTATATTGTATTGCCATTGAGCTAAGTCACCTTCCAACGTTTGAACATCGGACACGTACGTGCGTACGTAGTCCACTTCCTTGTTGATTTTCATATTAGCACAATCAGCGAGCGCAACGTTTCAAGATCATCGATAACAACAGTAGCAAAAGGAATTATCATTTTGCTTCTTTGGTTGGGCGATTTGTAATAATTAATACTCTTACGACACGAATCCACGTTGTCAAGGATGATCATTCGGGTAATTAACTTTACACGCGATAATAAAAGAGCAAGTCTGGTACCAATATCAAGTAATAACATTTACAGAGTTAAACGAATTTTATACGTATGATATTAAACTAGAAATTTCGAAAATTATTTATTGAAATTATTATACTGTTAGAAGAGGGTCTGAATCAAGAGTGGCGGTACCGCGGCGGGCTATATAGGCTGGCGTCGCTCGCCCCTTTTTTTCCATCGGTCATCACTCATCACGGAGTGCGGAAGCCCTGCTCGAAAATCTAGCGTCATTAATTTCGTCGTAAATCGTCTTTAATTTTTGATAGCTTGTTTTAAGTCAGTATAATTATTTCATTAAAATCTTTTAAAATTCAATCTGTGTTTCTATTTGTAACAATATATACATTTAAAATGTTTTATTTATATGCTATTTAATTTTTAAAATACGTACGTAGCATTGAAATTGTGTATAAATAAAACAAACTCATTGTTTCCTACGCCACATTTTAAGTACTAGCATAGCATAAACGTAACTCCATACAATGCCTTATATTATTATCCTACTACTTTCCGTTTTGTAAGGGACGAACAAGAGGTTGCTAAGTTTCGAACGACCTTCAAAACTTACAAGCACATAATATTTTGTTTCTGGCTATTAAAAAATTTGATATTTCGATACTAACAGAACGATAAGAAAAGTTAGAAATGGCACTCCGTTTCAGTATAATCGCAAGCTCTCGTAAGCTCGTAACGATTCACCAATAGGCTTCTTTAGAGTTGGCTGTCAGCACCACTCCTATGATAACCCTAGAATATTTTGGTTCGAGTAGGGATGCTTGTATATCTATGTGTTGAATATAATTAACTGAATAGAAATGAAGGCGACAGTGTACTGTGAAGTGGCGGTGTAACCGTGAGTTTGCACTGACGCGACTTTCACAAAAAACATGTTTTAAACACTGTTTTCTGTCAATGTATCAAAAAGCGTTTGCATAGTCAAAGAACATGTTGTAGTGAAATATATTTGACAGTTTAATGTACATTACATATTTTAACTATATTAAATCTTTATTACTACAGAGACAAAACATATTGAAAGATAAGTTTGAATAGCTGTTGAAAATTTTACATATTTTTGTGAGTGCGAACGCCACCATCAACAAAACACGTTGTATGATTTATTTTATGCGATTTGTTTCAAAACATTACGTGTGGGATGTTTCTCAGTGCAAACGGTAAGATTATACAGTATACACTACTCTAAATTATGTCTTAGGTGTCGTAAGCGGCGACACAAGGAAACAAATCAGGAGATGGGCAGCTGCGTCTTCCTAATAACGACTGAAATTAATAGTTTGCCAACATTCTTCCCAAGTGTGGGAACTATGGCAAATACCCCCCCTACTACGAGGCAATCTATGGGGAAGGAATGTGTTCAGCAGTGAACTTTAATAGGCTGTAACGGTAACAATGAAGGCTCTGTGGCGCAGTGGGCAGGGCAGCGGGTTCGTGTCCCGTACGGAACAAGCATTTGTATGGTCTACAAAAAATTGTTCCGGGGCGGGATGTTTGTGTTATTTATGTTTGTAAACTGCCTCCGCGATACAGGACGAAATCCTAAGTGTATTCAATAAAGAAAGAAAAAAATAGAATACCTGTGTAAAGCACCAGTTCTCGGCGACGGGGGTGTTCCCGTCGTGCAAGGGGCTGGGCACGCGGCTCACCGCCATGCCGCCGGCGCCGTTCGACGTGACGCGCGCCGACTGCGGAGCGGCCGCGCCGCCGCCCGACCCTCCGCCGCCGCACTCGCTGCCCGACCCGAGCCTGCAACCGTACATACAACCTGCTATTCCCGGTTCTACATTCCACGTGGAACAGTCCATGTATCATCATTAGAGATGGGCCGAATATGGATTTCACCGAATACGAATATCCGGCCGAAGGTTCGGTAAAACTTTTACCGCACCGAATATTCGGCCAAACATTATTTGGTAGGATCACCTCGGTACCTAACCAATTTTTGTCGAAACTTGTTACCGTAAAATGCACTGGATTAGCGCTGGACCCTGCCCCCATCTCCCCCGCCACATCTGACATGTTATTGCGTTATCCAGTACTGAGCAAATTGCCAGCACATGCTTATGCTTATGTTTTGAAAATTTTTGTGAAAAAAAAATTTCGTTGTGTTATTCTTAGTGAAAATTGATAATTATATGATAAAAATGAGTGGCAGGAGATCTACTATTTGAACTTATTTTGGAGAAATTGACGATCAAAGTAAAGTGAAATGAAATGTGATATAATGTAATGTTCCTTTGTTTGATTTCAAAAAAAAATATCAAGCTTTCTATTTGCTATAATTGCAAATAAATCTACAGTGCCTCAAAAACGTAACGCTATAAGTATAAGTAGATTTAACCCATAAATAAAATATACTTCCAACAGTAAATTATGAAAGACATGCATTAGCCAATTCGTACATTTCAATACAGTAAATACTTTGAGTATCACTTTAACGAATGTTCAGTAACCGAATATTCGGCCGAATACGAATATTGTGAAAACGAATATTCGGCGCATCTCTAATCATCGTCAGCCAGTAAACGTTCTACGGATAATATATTACAAGTTATTCCCAGGAAGAATTTTGCATAGTCGCAACACTTAGGGAGACTGATTATCGACTGCACTGTGAAATTCACGGAAATATGGGCAAACTTCCACAGTGGAATGCTAATTGATTTATGTTACATTTAATTTTAAAGACTAGGACGAAGGATTCCACCAAAAAAAAAAACGATATACTACACTATACCTACTTTAAGGCAGTACCTAGGTATTCTCGGTTCATAGTTTTCTTTTGCAGGCAAAAGCCCTAAATAACTTTGAAAAATAGTCAAAATAAGTAGAGATAATTCTAAACAGAAATATAAAATTAACACTTGATGTTTCTTAATTTATTAGTGTAAATTCTAAAACAAGGTTATTTGAACTGGTCGAGAATTGTGTGTTTCTGAAACAAGCACAAGTATAGGTTCAGTACGTGATTCGAAAATACAATAAATTATATAATTATTTTTTCTTTTTTTTTACATATTGATAAAGCGCATAAAGGTCGATCAATTTATTCATAAGAACTTTTAACCTCTATGAGCATTATGATTTTCGTAAAATAGGAACAACCGGTTCATAAACCTATTATAAGCAAAGATTGACCTAGTGGCCGAAAGGCGATATCTTGCAACTTCACATGGAAATGAATGCAAGGCGAATATGTAGCAACTTCGTAATACGCCAATCAACGATCGCCATTTCGCATCCCAAATCTGGGACGCGAGCACAATTTTCGTTCCAGTTACGTGAGCACAGAGCGCGCCCGTTTGCGATTTGCGAACAATGAAGATTTGGCGAAAGAAGAATTAACGTTATTTAAAATGGTCTTTTCTCGCTTTTAGGTTTCGGTGCCGCCGAATCTCGACAGTGTGTCAAAGTGGGACGTGTACAATGCGCGAGATATTGCCGTCCTGCGAGACTTTCACGAACTTCGATTACCAAATACGCGTTAGAATCTGTGTCAGTTTCATCACCGCACTGCATCCGTTCACGGCTCGAGTGCGGTCGCTTTGTTTGAATGTAGGCGCGCACGGCGACAGCTGTGTAAGCCGGGCGTTCGCTAGGGCGCGCATTATCCTGCACGCCTGCATCTTGCAACAAAGGAAGCCCTGACCGCGACTACCGGTTTGCTGCCATTTCAGTAATATGGACAGAAAATATATTGTGATATATAAAAATCAATAGTATCAGACTAGTTTTAGGGATTATAACATTATACTGCTATAAATAACTTTGTCTACAGATGTCATTTGACCTACACGTGGTATACCCGAATAACGAAAAACATTCTAACGATCGACTAAAAGGTAGAAAACTACTTAACCTAACCAAAAAAGCCTAACCCAAAACCGAACGATTAGTCATGGGGATCCGGATAAATATAGTAAGCGACAGTCGAAGCAGCCGATATCCCCGCACTGGTAATTTAGAACTAGGTTGCTCGGCTGCGCTTACCAACTCTGCCTGAGTAGTCAGTAAAGCCAAATCATTAACAATTAAAGATATGTATGTATGCAAATTATGCATTTTTAAAAATGCCTTTATTTGCTAATAAACATGTAATAATAATAATGTTCTCCAAACGGAATTACAGTCACGGCGGCCAGCCTCAACGGAGACTAGCCGTAGCGCAAATCAGTATTATATAACTAAAATAGACACTAGTACATGCCTAGTGTATGCGCAAAAGCACAGGTGTACTCTATTCCTTCACACTCATAGTCTGATGGGACGGTAAACCGACACGACCACAGAGATAAAGCTCAGGACCAACGGTTTTACGTGTTTTCCGAGGCACAGGGGTGAAACACTATTTTATGACAGAAAAAATACAATAAATAATTTTGTCCCGACACGTGAATCGAACCCGGGACTTCTGTACCACTATACCGACGAGGCAGATGCATAATAAATACACGTGTCAGTGTAAGAAAGAATAGGTACAAAATGCATTTAATTAAAACATTTTTAATACGTACGTTCAACCTTTATCTCATTTTTATTATCGCTTGTTTAAATTTCTTAGTAGTAGCTGCAGGACGGACATTTTAATGAGGACTTTAAGAAGGAAGAGAGATTTAGATAACCATTACAATTTAAAACCATGGATAATTTAATTTACACGTGGCAGAGCCATGCTGCAACTTAGTATATTATGCTTGTAGCACGAATGAGTAGGCTCGACCGGGGAAGCACCACGCTGTCACACAATACCAGTTGAAAATAACAGCTCAATATTGCTGTGTTTTTATGGTATGGTTTTTTGTATGGTAAGTGTAGAGAAAAGGGTCTCCAACCTTTTTACTACAAACAAGGCATTCCATCTAAGTCAGGGATGAAAACGATTCTGCATTTTGATTCTTAATTGAGGATAGAAGCAGATGTTTATGTGCTACAGCATCCACCTACTATCAGTTGAACTGAATGTTGTGTGCTCGTTTGTCAGCCCTCGGTCTATAAAAAAATATATTTATAAGATGTGATGTAGTGCAGAGAACAACAAGATGTAACCATTTAATAAACACCAAGAGAACTGTACACCGAGCCACAGCATCATTATAAACTAGGTCGAATTATTTCACTAATCGTTATGTCCTAGAAACTAACGTTGTGGACCGAGAGACGAGTTTAACACCGGGCAAATCAGATAAAATTTTAAACTTTAGTATAACCTTAAAATGTGTTCAGACACTATTTTGAGTTTCTTAAGAATATAAAGTAGGAAAAATTATTTTGAACTTTTATTAATAAAGTAGTTGATTTATTTTATATGTGGAAGAGACTAAATAAAGAAGCAGACATAAATTTAAGATTCATCACTGTGATATTTCCTTCCTGAAACATGCTTGAGATTTCCAAAATGTATTTGAAAATTGATCAATATTTTTATGATTGAAAATATCCAAATATTTTCAGAAAGAGACGCTGCGGTTTTTCCCACTACATATATTATGTACATGCCAGTTGATTACAGCGCTAACCTCGATAATATTTTACCAAATCAGATATTGGTGTAAGTCTCGATACGTGGTCAATTTTTTATAGCGTCGAGTGCTGATAAGTTATCACCCGCAACGGTTCTACCGAGGTCAACCAACAAATTTGCTACTGTGGCAAATGGAGCGACCCGAACGACCTACATTCAATTTGACTGAACCGTTCTATTACGAATAGCGACGAAGCATCATATCTATTCGCTTTTTTGATTTTTAACATAAACTATATTACGATCGGTATATCGGTTTGTACTTACAATCGTCTATTTAATACGGTTTATTTCATAACGTATTTAAAAGTAATAAAAACAGCTTCAACTTGTGATGTTACTTCTTACTGGTGAAAATCGTTTAAAACTCTATTAAATAGATTGAATATTACTGTTTTACTAGATGACCAGATATAAAAAAAGCTTGAGTACTTTAATAGTGTGATTAAATAAAACAAAATTTAATTTTTTTTACAGAATAGGGTGACAAACGAGCACACAGTCCACCTGATGGTAAGTGGTTGCTGTGGCCCAGAGACATCTACATCTGTCCTCGATTACGAAACAAAATGTCACCCGTCAGGACTTAGGTGGAATGCCTCGTTTCCAGTAAAAAGGGTCTCCGGTTCTCTACACTCACCATACGAAACACAGCAACATTAAGCTACTATTTTACGCTGGTATTCAATACCTACACTACCATTGACCATTCAAGTGAAACAGCAACAATTCTATAATACAAAATTAATTTTGCCTGTCGTACCGCTCACCTGGTAATTCTGAGAGGACGTTAGCTTACACAAATCATAGTTAGTTACTTGAAAACGCTTGTTACTAGTTATAGAATTAATATGAGAAACGACCATGGGCATCCACATCTATCATCTAAAATGCAGATGGCCAATATGTTGTCACCCCTGAGGATTAAGATGGAATGCCTCGTCACCAGTAAAAACTTCTCTACGCTCACCATACGTACAGCACCAGTATTCTGCTGTTTTACGCTTTCATTTCTGTGAGAGAGTGGTCCTACCCCGGTCTAGCACTCATTCGTGCTGTGCTCAAACAAGTGCAATTATGCATCTATGTATTACGTCTTTCTTATTACTACAGCCTTTTTTATAATTATTTAATAACGATGATCCTGATATTTCAATAATCAGATAAAAGTTATCCATTAAATAAATTCACCTGAATATTAAAGTGCTAGGGCTGAATATTAAAG